GCTAGCTAGCTACGCCACTAGATGTCTATGTGGCACTACGTAACGGAGGTCTTGGCTAGCTAGGCTAGGGCCCTGGCTAGCTAAGGCAACAGCTAGCTACAGCTAGCTGCTTCATCGCATCCCACTACAGGGAGGCGGCGCTCTGCTGCTCCTGCTGCTACTGCTGCTGCTGCTACTGCTGCTACTGCTGCTGCTGCTGCTGCTGCTGCAGTGGATGCTCAGCAGCAGCAGCACAAGTGGAGTTTCGTGCTGCGTGTCTCTGGCTAGCTGCCTCAAGGCTTCAGCAAATGTAAGAGCTGCACAGCTCTATCAGTCCAAAACAAGAAGACACACAAAGTGCAAAGGAGACAGCAGCTGTTGCTGCTGCTGCTGCTGTTGCTGCTCCTGCTGCAGCTGCTGCTGTTGCTGCTGCTGTTGCTGCAGCTGTTGCAGGACCAGCAGGCGCAGATGTGTGTGGTACTGGGGAGACAGCAGCAGCAACAGCAGTTTGCTGCTTCTGCTGCTGCTGCTGCTGCTGTTGTTGCTGCTGCTCGAAGTGCAACTGCAGAGAGGGCTGTAGCAATGGGNGCTGCTGCTGCTGCTGCTGCTGCAGCTGCTGCTGGACGCGCCAAGAGTTCTGCTGCTGCTTCTGGTGCAGCAGCATCTCCTGTTGCTGCTTCAGCAGCTCCGAGTAGTGCTTCTGCAGCAGCAGCTGCTGCTGCAGCATGTCACGGTAGCTGCGGTGGTGCTCAGCAGCAACAGCTTGAGCTTCCCCTTCCTGCTGCTGCAGCAGCAGCTGCTGCTGCTGCTGCCGCCTAGCTGGTAAAACACTAAGGGCCCCGTATGCTGCAGCAGCCATCGCTGGCCGCAGGGGTATTGCTGCAGCAGCAACAGGAGACATGCAGCAGACAGGCACGTGCTGCTGCTGCGGCAGCTGTGGGGTCCACACAAGTGCTGCTGCTGCTGCAGGCTGCTGCTGCTGCTCCTGCTGCTGCAGCGGTAAAGAACAAACAGCAACGGGGACTTTCTGAGGCACCAGCACAGCTGCTGGCTGCAGCAGCAGCAGCTGCTGCTGCTGCAGCCCTTTGGGGGGGCAGCTAGCAAGCCGCTGCGGCGCCCCTGAGAAGGGGACCGGGTGTCTCCTCTGCTGCTGTGGTGCTGCAGCAGCAGCAGCTGCTGCTGGAGTAGCTGCTGTTGCTCCTGCTGCTGCTGCTGCGCATGGTGTTGCTACCCTGTAATCAACCTGAGGGGCTGGAGTGTGCTGGTGCTGGTGCTGGTACTGCTGCTGCTGCTGCTGAAGTTGTTGTTGCTGCTGCTGCTGCTGCTGCTGCTGCAGCGGCGGTGTATGGAGGCTTGCAGACAGGTCGGTAGACACAGAGGGGTTTTCGTGCTGCTGCTCTATCTGCGTGCCATCGATTTTGTGTTGCAGCTGCTTCAGTTGCTGCAGTTGCTGCAGCTTCGGTAGCTGCCGCT